CCCTCGACCTTGAAAAGACCACCAGTGAAAGAGCCAGCAAATCGTCTAGAGGGTGGCTTGAAAATTCACAAAATGGTCCATGTTCCTAACAGTAACAATAAGAAGAATGGTGCCCTGAGAAAGTGTCGCGTGAGTGCTAAGCACAAGGTTAGAAAAGAAACAAGTATCATGTGTGCAGGCTGTGGTGTGGCTCTCTGCAAACTTTCATGTTTCAATGTTTATCACACGAAGAAAAACAAATAAAGAGGTGTGGAAAAGCATTTATTGCATAAAATATTGTCTTTTTATTAGTTCCTGAAAATTTCGTTTTTAAAAACCAATTTTTGTTGAAGTTGTTTAGGAAAAAGTAACTACATGCATTTTAGTGACATAAGGTTTAAAGGGCCTGCCAGGACAGGGGTGAGATTTAAATACCCTTCGTGCCAGTCAAAGAGTTAACATCACTGTCCAGCATTTGCATGTATGACAATTTTATACATTCACATCTGTAAGCATATATACAGAGTGTAAATAAATATATGTTACAACGCTCTGCGGTAGATAGATGGGTTCAATCTGATCATATTTTGTTAATACACCCATGTCCAGAAATGCTTTGTTTATGCATGAGGGCCTCTGAAATGTGAAGGAGGATGCCCTTACTTTTGTGGCTTAATGGTGACATTTAACCTAATATTTCTCCAAGAGGCCTTACCAGAGCTGCTGGAATTGGTACCTTTGCAAGTCCATCATGAAATGTGGTTCCAGCATGATGGTGCCCTAGGACACTGCACTAATGTCTATGAGTTTTTGGATGAAACCTTTGGCAACAGAGGGCCTGGATGTGGAGGCCCAATAACCTGACCCCTAGCTTCCCTGATTTCACTCCATGGGATTTCTTTGTCTGGGGGTACATGCAAAGCCTGGTGTATGAGACTCCAGTGGACACACAACATGATTTTGTGGCAAGAATAGCAGTAGCAGCTGAAACCATCTGGGAAATGCCAGGAATTTTTCAAAGAGTTCACCACAAAATAGCCAGGCAGTGAAGTCGGTAGCCGCCATTTTGAGCCACTCTTACAATGTAAAACAACGATAACATCCTCTAAAACTTGCGCATCCTCTCAGAAAATTTTGCTACCCTTAGTGCCAAAATGAAGCATTTCTGGACATTGGTGTATTAAAAAATATGATCAGATTGGACCCATCTATCTACCACAGAGCATTGTAACATATATTTCTTTTCATCCTGTATATTCAGTAGGCATGTGTAACTCCAATTTTCTGGATCAAACTGAGAAAAAATTCTCGACCTAGTCAAACAGTAATTTCTGAACTTTGAGAATTTTCTAATCACTGCTTTTCCTTTGCACACTAGGGTCATATCACAAGAGAATGGAAGATGAATTTTTATAGCCCTCTTAAGGGTCACAATTCCATAGGTTGCCAAGATTTTAATATATTGTGGTATCTGTGCCGAAAGCCAGAATATTTTAATCGGCACATACAGCCATTGTGAGGTAATAGCTTGGCAAACACAATGTCTCTGTGACAGTGGTGATGTCACACAACAATAGGAGAGCTGCAGGAAGCAGTGTGGTCATACAGACTGGCACCAGGAGAACAGTGCCACTAAAATGAAACACAATGATATCACATAACCCACATCAACAGAGGAACAGTGTTTTCTGTTGGGTCTATGCAGAGGCCATATCTGGAGAATCAAAACACATGCCAGTCAATCCGAGTCTGAGGCTCTGTTAGAGAGTCGCCGTTGGTGAAAGTGCAGGAAGTGGAGGAGCCCCCACTATCATAAATCTTTGCATAGCAACTACAAGTTAGCTGTGAGACAGTCACTGGCCAGTAAGAATGTGAACATGGAAGTTGAGGAAGCTACATTGTTGGAAGCCATTACCAGGCAGCCAGCACAGATACAGCACTCTGAAAAGAACTGCATGCTGTAGTGAACTGCAGAGTGTGTGAATTAGTGATAGTGCTATAGTTTTTTGTAGTTATGATCTGTAAGTGTTCAATAAATCCAAATACCAATTCAAACCCCATCTATAGTTGCTCAATCATGTGGCAATATACACAAGATGCTTGTAATCTGTTTTAACCATGCCATAGCTCAAGCAGTTAGTCGCTGGCTTCCCACCATGGCGGCCCGGGTTCGATCCTGTGTCTGCTCAAGTGGGAGTTGTGGTGGACAAAGTGGAGCTGGGGCAGGTTCTCTCCAAGTACTTCGGTTTCCCCTGCCAATCTTCATTCCACCAACTGCTCCACAATCACCCTCACCTATCATCTGGGGCTGGTACAGTAGGCCAGAAGTTGCCGCAGTACAAGGGACTCAGTCCCACCCCACTAGCAATAAAAAAATCTGTTTTAAGGTTTTAGCGTGTTCACAGCAGATTATGGTCCAGCTCACTACTACAGCTCCCACAATTGTACTGTGTGACAGCAGCAAGTGAGGAACTGAAATACGTTTCAAGATTAGAAGCCATGAGGTTATAGTTATAAAACAAAAGTGTTAATTCTTGTTGTAAAGGGGGAATATTGTGTCTAAAAGAATCAGTCATCATAGTTTTGCTTCATATTTTAAGACTGTGGTGGTTAAACATGCAGACCAAATAACTGCGAAGCAGAAAGAAAATACAGCATCTCCTATGGCAAACATCTAAAGGTTAAATAGGGGACCAAAACATGAAAATCGTTTGTACAGAGTCAAACAAAGAACTGAATTTTGGTTTCAGGCAACATCACTACTCAAGATAGGCTTAAATATTAAGCCCAGCTCAGTGTGATGTGTACAAATAATGGAGAGGTACAGGTAATCTTTATAGCAATGGCATTCACTTTGTAAGAAGTTTCGTTATACTTCTGGGCATTGTAGATGAAATGACAGTGTATCTGGCTATGCCACACAGTTACACCATCAATGATGCAGGTAAAAACCTATTGTCATAAGTAAAGTGTGATAGTGAGTCAAAAGAACTATGCATAAGGTGCAGAGGCATATGGGGCTAATAGTCACGTCTCTAACTGAGAGCTGGGTGACTAAATGAATTTTTGTGGGACTGGCTACAATTTGTCCAGAACAGGGGACCAGGAGCACTGTTGACAAAGCAAGGAATGCTTGTATTGGATTATAAGACCATATTTGATTCTTGCAATGTATAATGACCTTGTGGTCTAACCTGGAGGGATGACTTCAAAATTACATGTTCTAGTGAGGAAGCCATAAGCGGCCTCCGTAGTCCAGGGGTAACATTCCCACCTCATGACACAAGGTACACGGGTTCAAACCCGGCGGAGGTCGTGGAATTTTTAAGGGCGGAAAAATTCAAGGAACAAGTCCTCCGGGAGGGACTTTAAGCTGTGGGTCCTGTGCCATAGATTTACGGCATGTAAAAGATCCTCATGTCTCTAGGAGACCTCTGAGCAAAATTAGGCAAACGTTTCCTGCCCAAGTAGTTTCCAATGCCTCCGGTAGATGGGGAAGTATCGGGTACCACTGCCAGCTTCACTGGCTGAACGGGGCTGATAGCGAGCACCACTATCGAAAGGGTATGGCGACTGGTAGAATATCAAAGGGGGACGTACAATAGACTATTAGTCGCGGTGCATGGGGGAAATCCACCCCCTCCAACAACAACAACAACAACAATAATAATAATAATTATAAGTGAGGAAGCCATCCAATGATCATTTTAAATAATTGTATTCTGAATGGCTCTTGGTAGGGGACTATGTTTAGACACAATAAAGATGCTCTTTGTAAAATCACTGCGCCAGTGGATCAAGACAATGGCAACAGATCTCTCCAAAAGTGATTGTCAGAGGCTTCAAAGAGTGTTCCATACTGTATCCGATGAAACGGATGGTAGGGAGGATGCTGGCAGTGAAAAGAGAGTGTGAACTGTGAAAACAAGGGACAGGGTCCTCAGAGACACTGAGGCGCAGATAGGTGATGATGACAGGAATGGTGAAGCTGAATAGAGGCCAGAGGCTTCAAGAAGCAAATTCAATAAATTTCATACAAAACATATTTTCTAATACTTATTTCCCTTCACATATTTAGAGTAAAGTTATGATGTTAATTAATAAAGTTACTTTTTCTATGCAGACGCATTTCCTAATGCAGGGTCATCTTCCATTCAGGTAAATATGGTAGTACATTTTAGTACACCATGGAAACGGTAGCTAGTGATATAAATTACTGCAATGAAAACACTGATCTACTAGAGAAAATTCTAGTTCTTGTTTCAATTCTTGGAATTTTTCTGAATTCTCGCCTCAAACTGAAAACGTAATTCTCACGTGTCTAAAGTTCAGTGTTCTAAAACCAGTCTGATTCACACAAATGTGAGAGATTGTATTGCCTGTTTCTTTTTATACAGACTCTGGAGTCATACAGCCTGCTGTTCTTTCCCATCTCTGTCCTGTCAATTTCATTTTCAATTTCTTTAAGGTTCACCCCCTCACCATTAACCACAGTTGAACCATGACAGAAAAAGCGTAGCTTACAATGAGAACTTCAGTATAGCATAAAAGAACACAAACACAGTCAATTCCTTAATGTTATGTATATGGAAAGATCTTTTATATTATAAGGGCATTTTCCAGCATTTATTTCACAAGTTATTCCTAGCCATCCATGACTTTTCTACAATTCTTTCCATGAACTGTATGTAATTGCAAGTTTACTTCCCAATGGATTTATAGTGAGCAACCTTAAAAGGTATAATTAAACCACCCCAGCCCCTATGCCTTGTTTAGGACAGAAAGGTCTACATTCCAAAACCTGAGAACTGTATGTCTGAAGACAATTTACATGACCCTGAAATTGTAACAGTTTTGGTCCATTTGCTCTGTTATTGCTTGCAGACAGTACAAAATTCACTCTGTTTACCTTGAAAACCATAAGACCTACAGGAAATGTCTATGAAGCACAAAATGTAAGTTTCATATTTAGCTACTTTTGTTTTAAACAAATTTCATTCCAATAAGTAATAATAAGACATAAATTATACACGAAATGTGCTGCAAACACATTCTGGTCTTCACATAAAGTGTTTGCTGTCATTTTAATTGAAACTGAAATGTGTCTGACTTCACTGCCGTATAATAACAGCAGATTTCCTGACGTTGATATGGTACATTAAGAACGCTCTTTTTACTTTGTTGATCACCCCAGTTTTTTAAGCTGCTACTTTTCAGATACTGGCTCTATTTGTCATTAGGTGAATAAAATTCTAGTCTGTTGGGTCCCTGGGTTTGAGAGGAGCTCTACCTACCAAAGGAATTCATTACACCCCTGATGACAGGAACGGAGTCAGCATCCAACGTGCAGTTGTAAAAAAAATTGGGCATGTACACATTAAAAAGAACAGCTTTTATTAACATTAATGATGATCACATAATCAAAGTTTTACCGTAATCATTATTAAGATGAAGGCACGAGTTGGCAGAAATATTAACTCTAAGATCTAAGAACACTGAAGGACACTACTTACTTCCAAATGCGTGGCATGCACCATGGAGTTCTTCAAGCATGTAGGTGAAACAGGTACTGTCGCTGGTATATCTATCTTCTCTGGAATACCTTGAGGCGCACGCAAAAGTGCCTTCGGAACAGGTTTTGCCGTAAAAGTGTACACTGGAGGAACTATGGTTTTCTATATAAAAATACGTTTGTCAGTTTCATATACAAGAGATATCAATTTGCCACAAATAACGAAGGCACTTAAAAATCCTTCCACAGGTGGACAAATCCAACAAAAAGAAAAATAATCTTAAAGTTTCCATTAAAATTGAGGTTGGAGAATAGAAAGTGTCTTGCAAAAGTTCCAGCTAGACTATGCAGAATATATAATCGCAAGTCTCTCTTAAAAATGAATATATTGTACCATTATCCCCTGCTAAATGACCATGATCCATCGACACTCTCACCTTATGTTCAAATACCCTAAAGATCATCATTCCCTTGAAGAAAGCAGTCTTCTGGGATCCCAGAAGACTGCTTTCTTCATAGTCACCGCTGTGAAAGCCTCAAATCTTACATCATCATTCCCTTGTCAATCAATAACTGTCAGTGCATGCATGTATTGACACTGTTTACAAGGTCAGTCACATCAGCCAGCCATTCTGGTAATGTGGTAGTGCAATATTATAAATCCTCACATTTTATCACTTTTTGGTAATTTTTAAATAACATTAGTGAAATTACAGCCCTACATTGGAAAATCAAAGCAAATGTTAGAATTAGGTTTGCTAACCAGTGAATCATTAATCAATATTTCATGAATCAAACAACTTTGATTAAAGAGGGGTGACTGTAGCTAAGTATAAGAGCATGTAAGAGCAAACATGAACAGAAAATAGAACACATAATTTATGTAGCTGACATAAAATTGTTAATTTCTAACAAATATTAACTCAGTGTGTTGTCAGAAATACAGTTACTGTGAACAACATCCATAAATTCCTCTCATTAATAAAACCATGTTAATATTAAATCCTGAAGGGTTCTAATGATGGCATATTAAACTTGGGATTACAGTATTTTCTGTATTCCAGCATCTTGTTGCACATCTTTAATTAATGTCTATGTATTAGCCTGTCAATAATGCAACAATCATTAAAATATTCATCATTCAACACCAACACGAATAGTGAAGACAACACTACACTATGCCTGAGGGAACAGCACACAAACAAGGGGCATATTGCAGATCGCAGACATAGCTGCTGAAACAAACTGTCTGAATACATGCATCACATAGCTTTAAACAAGTGGACGATGCCCCTTATGAGATGAAATAGGACTGTACGAAAGATTTTAATTTAAGTGGACTGCAACGTGCAATTTTAGCACGCATCAAAGCAGTGTAACAGTTTAGACATATTAAAATACCTGAGGATGGCTGTCTGTGGCCGAAACATGTCATGTTGAGGTTGAATGGTGAATATTTGAACGATTGTTGCATTCATGAAAAGTTACATAGTTCCGTCCAGTCACACAGGACAGAACTGTTTAACTTTTCATGATGTTGTTAGTGTGACGGACCAGAGTGAAACAAATCAAATTGATTGTTGCATTATTGACGGGCTCAATACATATTGTTAATTGGGATTACAGGCATATTCTGGAATTATGTCACCTTAGGTTCCAGAATGATGCTGTAACTCAATTGATTCTGATGAAGCAACCTCATCTGAGAGCGAACATGGGCTTCATGAAGACATTACAGCAATGGCTGCTAACAATGATTTGAGTGAAGAAGGCCAACATAAAACTTGGTTAGGTACACAAGACACTTTGAATTTTGATGGCGATCATCCTTTCATTTGATGTCTCAGTGGATTGAGGACATACAAGGCGCCCCATGTGTATAAACGGAACACATATTCACAAAATACGAAAATCATGCAACACTTATATTACCTTTTTCACTATTTCTGTCAGTTTGAAAGGCACTGGCACTGTTGGTAGTTTTCTTTCTACCCTTATGCCAAGTTTTGGAGGTTTCAGAATTTTGGGATTCAAGGCACTGGCTTTTATTTGGCACCTGGAAGACAAAAAAAAAATCAGTATTCTCACATAGTAACTATTAAACTTGATCATCAGGGGTTACTGGATTTAAATCTCTCACTACTACAGCACTGGTGGCACAATTTTAACTTGGCACTATTGAGATTTATAGTGTAAACAAAGTGACACTAGGTCTGTCAGACTCATGCAAAAGCTGACATATGAGAAACACATGGACAATAAAGGGTAAGCAGTCTAAGTACCCTATGAAAGAGATGGCAATCAGGGCAGCATTTACTACAACACCCAGGCAAATGGTGAGGAAAAGGTAAAATGAGGTATTTGTTCATAAAGCATCCAAACCCACCTGGGGCCCACTCAGCTTATCTAATGGTCTTTTCCCAGGAATAAAGTAGCCGGAGCGTGAAGCTGACCACTAACCTCCAACTAGGCCAGAGCTTAAGAAAGGATGGAGCTATTCCTCTGCTCCCCAACACATCTTCATGGCATGATGTTTAACCCTTTAAAGTCCAGTGTCTTTCACATGTACCACCTGCTTTAATGTACTAAAACTCTGCATTCTGCCCACAGAATGTATTTCTGTATTCCATATGGTCCTCACAATAAACCGTGACTGTTTCCCTAAACAGCATTATATAGCTGGTCTTTGTACCAGAGACGTAATATGTCTCCTTTGAGGTGTGAACTGAATTTCTATATATTCTTCAGAAGGAATTCAGTCTTTAAAGGGTTAAATAAGCACAGAGACATTATCTTGGAAGAGCAGTCTCTTCAGTTGTAACATCATGTAGTTAGGAGACAGCCTGTTTGGAAGGAATATATCACCTCCATCTTCAGAATCAAAGAGTACGCCAAGCAAATTGAGATCTTTGATTCTGAAGATGGATGTGGTAAGTCCCACTTAAATGTGACGCTCTCCAAATTATGTGGCCTTATGACCCATAAGACCATTTTCTTCACAGTGACTACTGTGAGATCCTCAAATCCAACTTCACTGTTACTTTTATGAGTAAAGATAAATATTCAGAGGAGTTCCCAGCCATATATGTATATGGATCACTGCACACTGTAATTAATTGATGCTGTAGTAGAAACTTAAACCACTGACAGACACTGTCCGCTATGTGGGAAGCGAAAACCGATTCAAGGGATCCACATTTAACCTCTAACATCCGAATGACACATATATTGACGCAAGCAGCAACCAGAGTTGGCCGAATGGCACATATATGTGACGCAGGACACGTGCACTCTTTGGGAGTTCTGACAGTTTGACCTTGGGTTTGAAACCAAAACAAACCTATGTGAGGTCATGTCAGTGGTTCATTCCTTAGCTCTGAACAAAGAAATCGTTAATCTCAGTCCTGGTTTTGAAACTATTTATGTTTATACGTGGTGTGTTCAAAAAGTATTGAACCTTCTTTTTTCCCGCGTAAACCAATGAAGCGCGGGAGGCTCCCTTCGGTGGAAATGTGGAGGGGATATTCATGCGCAGTCATGAATTTTTTCCTGCCTGCAGAAAGTGTCAGATGCTGGCAGTCGGCCTATGAGTGAGGATGTGTAGTGAGCGCTTGTCGGATTCCAGTAAGGTGTAAAATGATGGAACAACATGAGCAGCGATATTGCATCAAATTTGGCCAAAAGCTTGGCGATACCCAAGTGGAAACCATTCACAAGATTCAACACGCTTTTGGGGACGATGCCATGAGCAAATCACGGATAAAGGAGTGGTACAACCACTTCAAAAATGGCTGCACATCAGTGGACAGTGAACCGCGTTCAGGCAGACCCTCAACAAGTCGAAATGAGAAGGTCATTGAGCTAGTGCGGACTTTGGTCATGGAGGACCGTCGTATCACAGTCTGAGAACTTGCGAAGGAGATAGGGGTAAGCATTGGATCGGTACATTTAATTTTGACCGAGGATTTGGGCATGAGGAGAGTGTCCTCGAAATTCGTACCGAAACTGCTAACAATGGAAGAAGCAACGCCGTCTGGAAATCGCACAGGACATGCTGGACAATGCAAACAGTAACCCCAACTTTCTCAACACCGTGATCACAGGCAATGAGTTGTGGGTTTATGGGTATGACACGGAAACCAAGATGCAGTCATCACAGTGGAAACACCCGACATTCCCGAGGCCAAAAATAGCATGGCAGGTCCGCAGCAATGTCAAGGTCATGTTGGCCGTTTTCTTCGCCTCCGGTGGGGTTGTGCATAATGAGTACGCACCACAAGGCCAAACCATCACAAAGGAATACTACCAGCAGGTCCTTCATCGCCTTCGTGATGCTGTGCAGCGCAAACGACAGGATCTGCGGGCAGCAAAAACTTTGCAGCTCCATCATGATAACGCACCCGCCCGTTCTGCGCATCTGATTCAGACTTTCGTCGGCAAACACAACATCCCTGTGGTTCGTCACGCTCCCTACTCCCCCGACATGGTCCCGTGACTTTTGGCTATTTCCCAAGCTGCAAATGCCACTGAAAGGAACCCGATTTGAGTCAAGAGAAGACATCATGCGGAATGTGACGGCCCGGCTGATCAACATTCCAAAAGTGTTTCCAACAATGGCGGAAGCGGTGGGAGAAGTGTGTGCATTACCAAGGAGACTACTTTGAAGGGTATTAGGGTTTTGTACCTCCAAATCAATAAATGTATTTTTGCCGACCAAAGGTTCGATACATATTGAACACACCACATATATGACTATTTATGACCTGGTCAGCCAAATATAGCCCAGCTTTCCAGGAAGTGTGACATATTCAAGGATTGGTTTTCAGTGGCGAATTATCAGTTAGGAAGTCAGTGTTGGATTGTGTAATATTTCTTTTTCACTTAAAAAGTTAGTGTCAGACTGTCATATATTTCTTTTTATATTATTTTGTGTCTCAGAAGAGGTATAAACCCACTAAGCCAGTATTACTTTGTGAGTAAAAGGCATCTTTGTCACTGTGACTTCCCGTATCAGTGTCGGACTGGCACCTTTTCGACTACTATTACAATTATTATTTTTTATTGCTAGTGGGGTGGGACTAAGTCCCTTGTACTGCTGCCACTTCTGGCCTATTGTACCCTACTATTACAGTTACTTTGCATCACTATTTTGCGAGTCTTTGTCAATCAACATAATTTATTCGATTTTGCTGGAAACCCCCCCTCCCCCAAGATGGAACCCCAAAAACGTGCCCGATATTCCAAACTTCTCGATGCAGAAGAACTGCAGGAAATATTGATGGAAGAGGAATCTGATGAAGAGTTAGAAGATATCAATGAGTTCATTGAACCTCGAGCAAATATGTTGTCGTCATCATCATCATCATCATACAACGAGGCAGAGGAAACAGAAATTAGGTTTCGTGATAGAAGACCAGGGGATTCGCCAAAGGTACTAGACTTCACCGGCCCTCTGAGTGGAATCAATAGATCAGCTACTCCCAATATAAATGCACAGTCTTCTCCTTTTTCCATTTTCATTGTTTTTCCAACAAATATTCCAAATTTTGTTACAAGAAACCAACAGATATTTCCACCAATTTATGGCATGCCAAGATGCTCCAGGCCCTTCTGTTCAACTGCCTGTCGTTACAATTGAAGAGATATATAACTTTTTGGCAATAATTATTCAAATGGGCCGCGATCAACGGGACACCCTCAAAGATTAACGGTCAAGAGAGCAATACTACACTCCATTCTATCATAACACCATGGGATGAGACCGTTTCTTCCATATTTTGAGATTCCTACATTTTGAAAATAATGAAGCTCCTCCCAATCAAGATGACCCAGAGTATGATAGGCTCTGGAAAATTAGAAAAAATTTTGACAATCTCAACAACAAATTTTGTGAACTTTACAATCCAGCAGAATGTCTTGCTGTTGATGAAGTCATAGTGTTGTTCAAAGGAAGAGTGATTTTTCGTCAGTATATTCCAAAGAAACGCAAAAGATTTGGTATAAAAATTTACAAGCTTTGCGATTTTGGGGGGAATACTTATGACATGACAGTTTATTTGGGCAAACAAAGGCAACTTGCGACAGAAGAAATTACATCGACACATGGCATTGTTCTCCAGCTAATTTGAAGAGTAGAAGGCTTGGGACACAAAATTTACATGGACAATTATTTCAGTTCTCCTGCTTTATTTGACGATCTTTTAGACAGGAAAATAAATTCATGTGGCACCGTTCGCAATGATAGGCGTGGAATGCCACAAGAAATTCGGCCCAAGTCAATGAAATTGAAAAAAGGGGATATTGTTACAAGAGTCAAGGGGCATCTAAGCGTTGTTCGTTGGAAAGACAAGCGTGATGTGTATGTTCTGAGGAATTTGCACCTTCCTCCATTGGAAGGCAACTTCCGAGATGAATCTGGCCATGCTGTGAAACCCCATGTAATTGAAGACTACAATGCACACATGGGCTTTGTTGATAAATCTGACAGGATGGTAAACAGTTATGGCATTGCTAGGAGGACATGGAAGTGGACAAAGAAATTGTTGTTCCACCTTCTAGATGTGACTATTCTATCTATGTGACTATGCATATCTATTACATAAGTCATGTGGTGGAAAAATGACACATAAAAAGTTCCGCGAAATATTGGTGTGGGATTTGATTCTTCAGTCGCATGAGGTGAATATCACGGTCAGTGGCGTTTCTCGGGGAGGCCAAGTTCATCTGGGGCCCAACTGTGTCGACTGGAGGTGAAACATTCACAACACTGGCCAACCAAAAGAAAACAAAGACATTGTATTTGTTCTCAAAATAAGAAGTGCAGAAGCACGCTCTACTACTGTAAAAAGTGTGACATTGCGCTATGTGTGGTGGACTGCTTCGAGAAGTGACACACGTGCGTCAGAGTGTGAGTTATCGTAAACTGTGAAGTGATGCAGTTCAAACTCGCGTACAGTCTGAACAAAATATTATTGTATAGTGTGATAATATTTACAATATCACCATGATTCAAGGTTGAAGAAAAATCAATGGGTAAGTCCTTTGGAATTTCATAACATATATAATAAAGATTACATTTTGCATTTCATGACAAAATATTCACAGTTAATTTTCATTTGTAGAACTTGATCTTTTATGTATATGTAGAAAATTTTATTGTCTTTCAGGTTATTTTTAGTTCATATTTCTATGTTGCATAGAACGGAAAACATGCATTTTTTTTTCTGAAAGTTTACAATGATAATTAATTAGGGTGATTTAAATTCCAGCCGTACAGGGCTGCTGGCAATTTGAAAGTACGTACGTTAAAGGTTAAGGTACATTTTTTGTGGTCCCAGCTTAAGCTCCATATGTCTAATGTATCATTTTCCTAAATTTAAAGCTTTAACTCCACTTGATGAACAACACTTTGATTCCTACACATTCCACATACTGTTTTAGCATAAGAGGCAATTCTTTCGTGTGGTCACCTTTGCATAAGTCAAGGCCATCATCTGCATGGCATGCAATGCACCATGGTTGTCTGCCCATTCTTTGCTCATCCTCTGTGTCAGCTGGAAGTAGTTACTGTTTGTTCTTTTTGTGTTGTATTCAAGTCTGTGTTTCTTTATGTGTTTTCAAAGTATAATGAATGACCATGGTGTTGAAAAGAAAGAAGTTAATATAGAAATAAGAAAGTGAAAATTATTGAGATGGTGGAATAGAATCTGAGTCATGAATTCAAATTGTGAAGTCTTTTATGCTGCCTCAATCATTATTAACATAAATTCTACAGAGAGCTTTAATTCTAGAAGAGGAAAGTTGGTGTGGGGCAAATTCTGGGAAAAAAAAGAATTACTTTATTAAAGAAAGAAGGTTCAATGCCTAATTATTGATTGATTAAATTTAACGTTCATTTTAGGCTCTGCGTTCCCAAACTCCCATTTAAGGCATAAAAGGCTGGTCTCTCACACAAACCATAAATTATGGTTTCACTGTATTTGACATACACGGCATTTTGAAACTGGATATTTGATGTTCCCCTTATCAGGTGTATGGGGGGGACCCCACTCAGTTGGGCCCATTACAAAGAGTTAGGGTGATGACACATGGAGCAGTTTTTGCCGACTCGGCATGTAGTTCTATTGCATCAGATGGGATAAAACAGAAAAGGCGGTGTTCGCCGACAGGCGGCAGATTTGCTGACTCGGCCTGTTGTCTGCAGGCAGTGCAGCGAGCGGTTTGAGACTTGCTCCATAGATTGAATACATTCTCAGCAGTTTCTGATGCGGCTGCCAAGTAGGCGTGCAGCCTCGTGTGTCTTGTCACTTAGTCTTGACCACTGGATACCTACAGATCTAAGCAGAGTACACATTCTGTTCCCAGAAAATATCACCAAGAGATAAGAGCACAAAGAACTGTCAGTAAGAATTATGAATGAAACCGTAATACAACAAGACTTAAATCTCCTTAGAGGTGCAGTTAAGCTCCACGAGTCACCAGAAACACCTAAACATCTAGGGGATCCAATGAGCCACTAAAAGATTTTGACAATGGTTCTTTATTATACATTCAGTTACCTCCTACATTGTAGGAAGGAGGTGCATATGGGTCTCATGTCTAGGCTCAGTTGGCAGATGATTTGTTCTGCACTGTTATGATGAATGATGACTCTCTGTCTCCTAATAATCTTCTTTCTTCTCTGCGGATGCTTTCTGCCTAATTCCACTAGTCTGTATAGCTGTTTCCAGACTTTTATTAACTCATACAATTGACTTACATTTTCATTTCTTCTGCTTCCTTCTCTTCTTCTTCCTCCCTGGTCATATAATGGACTGGACGTGATCGCAAATGTGATCTTAAATTTGGAGAATGAGGAATAGTTGAACCCTTCACTGTGATGCCTTTCCTAGGTTGCAGACTTAGGTTCAGTTTACCTGAAAAGATATTTTAATTAATTACCAAATGAAAGCCTTACAATACTGCAATTCTACACCACAGCTCACAGCCTGAACAAATTATGTGGCCATCCTACAGTAAAATGCCAATCATCCAAAACATAAAGGAGTAAAACTGAAAATTTCAAACAAATCAATTATTCCTGTACTGCCCACTAATAAGGACTGAAGTGGACAAAACTGGGTTGCAAAGTATTTTTCATAAAACATACCATCGTACTAAGAAGACTGTAATGGTATATACTATACCCTTACCAGGCAATTTATTTATAGAAGAAACTATAAATAACATAATTAAGAATACAATGATCCTAAAAAATGCTTATTTCATATATCAGTCAACACAATAATTTATAAAAAGTATACAGATGACCTATTTACATGAAGGTTGTATATCTGAGGCACATGTGTCAACCCCTAATGAATCATCATGAGATGCTGATTCATGTTAAGTGCTGAACTTACACTTAATATGGATCTATATTAGGTCGAAACATGTTGTGCCTCAGATATACAGGTGCTATTGGAAAGTTCCTGGAGTAGGTCAAAAAAGAAATGCCAGCTTAACTTGAAAAAGAACTTGTGTAAAAACATTCTTCATTGGGGTCACCAATGCGGTATGTCCATGTTTGAAGAGACAGCCACATATTAAACTTCTACAGAAATATTTATTGTTGCTATAATGAACATACAGACAAGATTCTTATAACAAGAAAAGTACATTCTCAATATTCCAGTATGTTGTGCATTCATTTATCACTGCTTAGTAGTGCTTCAGACAACAGAAATTCCTCCACTTCTGTACTGTCTCTTCGATTATCTTTCTCACTGTACCTTCCCCTTATATAACCTCAGTTCAGACTTCACAGAAAGCATGTCCACTGCCTAGCAACAGACATCTACTGTTGTGGGCTTTACCTAGCAATGGGCTGTCTACCCCAGAATCTGTATCCGTGGAAATGTGTTTGCCAAGTCGCTGCTTAGCAATTGATGGTTCCTAGGCTGTGACTGGTGACTAGCGTGTGGCAGTGGTTCTCAACCTTCGCAAGACTGCCACCCAGTAAATTCTCTTTTTATAAGATGAGGGCCCAGTACCAGGCTGCGGCCTGGCAGTTGAGAAACACTGTCCTATGGTACAAGCATCTTCTCACATATAACAGGAACTATATTTTCAAATTACTTGACATCATGACAAAACATCCTTGTATTGTGAATTAACAAGCGTTCAAGTGGATATCAACCACACCCTATCATGGGCTCTGAAAAATTGTATGGTCCAGTTATTCTGCTAACATTACAAGCTGTGAAGGCTTAGATCTGACAGAAAATTTAAACTGAGATTCTCTGCGTGACAGTCCAATATCTTACATCAAGATCTTGTCATATGAACTGTATTTTGTGTCTCCCACAACCATTTGGATTCCTCATTAAATAAAATATATCTTACTTGTTATTGGCTTAGAATGAAAACGATCTGGTGTAGTCGTCTGGAACCGATTTATAGCTTCAGCCATGCTAATGAATTTTCTTTCTTGGTTATTTTCAGCCATTGGTGACCCTTTCCTTTTGAGATGGTAATATTCTCTGTTCCATAAATTTGGTGCACTGGGCCTGTTAACCTACAATGAATATCTCATAAACAACAATATACTAGTACATATAATAATTTATATAACATAGAAGCATGAAGACTCTTCAGAAAATTCCAACAGGTGAAAGTCCAGAGTGCTATTCCCTTCTCCATGACATATCTGCAAGAAACTGGTCATTTGTGCTTCACTTCCAAAAAGTAAATACTGGACTAGACATAATTCTGCACCTCTACTATTACTCCCAATATGTGGGTACCTCAGTTTGTAATAATAATAATAATAATAATAACAACAACAACAACAACAACAATAATAATAACAACAATAACAATAACAACAACAACAAAAAGAAACCATTCCAATATTAATCTTGGAGAGCTACAGAAACACGAATTCACACAATAAATATTTCAAAATAAAACTAACCAATCTAATTGTTTATATTGGTTTTACTTAATAAGCGCTACATGTTTCGATGCATATTTTGGACCATCCTCAGGCAGTTTCATTAAATACCTCTCACATTATTGAAATATCCTAATATGGACCCACATTAGTGTTAATCAATATGATTATCATAATACATGTAGTTATTACTAAAACTGTATAAAGATTTTTAAATTGCTTGTTTTTGTGTTGTTCCTGCTCCTGATTTCAATGTGAACCAATGTAAACAATTAGACTGGTTGGTTTTATTTTGAAATATTTAATGTGTTGATGGGCAGAGCATCACAAATCATGACACACTACAGGATGCAAACAATAAAGATGTCAATTATACTTGCCTCTCTTCTATACACAATGTTAAAAAAAGGGTTACAGGCTTTAAGAGGGTGTAGTACTCACCTAACTGAGCAAAAAGATCCCAATCAACATATGTCCAGAAACCTATGCCTGCTGAGATATGGGTGATGTTCATGTGATCTCTGCAACAGATGCTCTATGTGGTTCCCATGCATTTCAGCACAACTTTCATTTGAATCTCCTGAGAGGAATTATATATTTGTTGCTGCAATACCCCTAATTCATTGATTGGCACTCAATACACCGAAGTCTTCAGGTGTCACCAAAGCCAAAAATCCAGTGGTTTAAGTTCAGGGGGAAAGTGCAGGCCAGTTGACTGGCCTATCCACTGTTAACCGCAAGTCTGGTTCAAATGTTGACTGACAATACAGACGAAATGAGGTGGTGCTTCATAATGCACAAACTACAAGTGGTGTTGTTATTGAAGTGGCACAAGTTCCAAGAGTATTGGTAACTCAATCACCAAAAAAGATGGTACACTGCACCTGTTTGTTACGTAAGACAACTGGGCCTAAGCGTTGATCACCTAAGATGACCACCCACATAATGATGGAAAATTGATGCTGATGGCAATACCACGGTGATGTGGAATTGTCATCCACCCAGACATGGGTATTATGAGAGTACACAAAACCACCCCCTGTGTTTACAATACATTTTGCGCGAAGTCACTGGCAAAATATCACCCTCACATGATGGCTGAGAAGAGCAATGGTTTGCAAACACTGGATGTGGTATGGGTAAAGTAATCATTCACAAAGAATTCTGCAGACAAGGGGAACACCAACAACTTCAGCAGCTGCAATTCATCACACACTGGTTCTGGGACTTTCTTCCATTCTTCTCAATATGTGAACTTCTCAGTAACTCCCCAATATCTCAGCAGGCATTGATTTCTGGACGTATGTTGACTGGGACGTGTTTGCTCATTTAAGTACTATAACCCCTTAAAGCCTGCAGCCCTTCTTTTAACACTATATATTATCACTTTTGGCCATTCTTTTAATAAAGCTGAAAAGATTTCTGCAATCAATAAATCTGGAAAGTACTAGGTTAAGTTATAATCTGCTCAAGCAACCAAACTGAGAACTGCAAGAAGTTTAGTGGCACACTACTTTGAATCATTGACATAATATTACTGGAGTAAACTCCTGCTTATCCAGCATCCAAGCACATGGAATTATCATGAAAATGACAATTTCAAAGAAAAGCTACCATTTTCATAAAGTTACTCCAGAAACAAAGTTGCTATGCACATTCTATTCATTTGCCATATGGTACTTCTCTGTGCTGCCGACTGTACTCCCTCAAGCACATGCCATTAAAGCAGAGTCCAGATGAATTTATGAGCATATTCCAGTGTATCCAAAATCTTTCACTCACCAATCTACTGTCACCTATGTTTTAAAACTGAACAGGCTTATCCGCTATACTGCATTCTATTGAGGTTCTGTAAGCTTTTCTCTTCTAATGAGCAGAACAAATGTACAGGGGATGGACAAAAATATGGAAACACCTTGTGAAATGCATGCCTGAATTGAAGTGGTTATTTTAGCGACGTTTGTAGGTGACGCTGTCTTATCTGCCCAATACCACTACCTGTACAACCTCCACAATATGTTGCAAGCTTCATTTGTTGTCAAGACAGTGTTCTGTGCAGTTTTTAGTGCATCATGTCAGAGGTAACAGAATTCAAACGCGGGCAAATTGTTGGGGCTCATATGGTGGGTGCTTCCGTAACCAAGGTAGCTGAGGTTTTTGGTGTTTTGCAAACCACATTCTCCAAGATTATGACCTCATACAGGAGGACTGGAAAAACCGCATCCGATAAACACCAGCGTGAACGGAAATGTGTCTTGAGTGATCGAGACAGATGAACACTGCGTGGGATTGGGACGAAAAATAAGAAGACTACAGCTGCAAAAGTGACTGCTGAACTGAATGTCACACTCATAAACCCTGTCAGCACCAAAACAGTATGAAGGGAACTCCACAAGCAGGGTATTTCTGGAAGAGCTGTAATTCCAAAGTCACTCATCAGTGATCAAAATGCCACTAAGAAGAGAGTGTGGTGCCGAAGTCATAAAATGGACTATGGAGCAATGGCAGATGGTCATTTGGTCGGATGAGTTTACCTTCACACTGTTTAAGACTTCTGGCCGAGTTTACGTCTGGAGAACGCCATCCCAAGCTTAAGATCCAGATTGTTTGCTGCCAAGAGTGAAACGTTGCTGGGGTTTGATCATGGTATGGGCAGACATATCGTGGTATTCTGTCAGACCCATCATTACCCTGCAAGGTCACATCACTGCCAACGACTATGTGACCATTTTGGGCGACCAGGTCCATCCCATGGTGCAAACTTTGTTCCCCAATGGTGATGCCATTTACCAAGATAACAATGCCCGTGTTCACACAGCTCATATCGGCCAGGACTGGTTTTGTTGGGTGTTTCCATATTTTTGTCCATCCCCTGTAATTTGCACACTTCATTTCCCATACAGACTGGATAACTGGGAGTTTACTGTATTTTTTCTTTCACTAATTGTGTGGTATAAAATATCGCTGAGCAGGTAACCTCAAAGACGTAAAATGTTCAATGAGGTCTATGGTATGGTGATTTTCACCATATGCTGAAAATAGAATCTACTAACTTTCTGATGGAGACATGGTGATCTATATCACTATCTCATAACACACCACAAAAATGATTTAGACATAGAATATCAATGTTTTGTGCAATGTATTTGTATTGTCCAGATAAGTTACCTTCATTTTGGGTACAGCACCATTTCCAGATGATGCTGGCGTAGTTATATGAGCTGATGCTGTCCAGAGATTTTTCATTGCTAAACTGTAAACCCAAAAAAGTTAAGCAGTATATAAAGACAATTAAAATGCTGCACTACCAAATATAAAAAACACAGTTGCAGTGTTTTAGGTATTCTAAGTAATTATAAATGTTCTTGTAACAGACCCTAAAAGTTTTTAAACCACACTGACAGGAGTTCTTAAGTGTACTATCAAGGTTTGAGATTAACTGCCACACAAACTTACCTTAAAAATTCTTAAGTGCATGTCACTTCATGTGACTTAGTCCCCTGAAGGTTGGTGTCCTCCAGAATCCAGTGCATGTAATTTCTCAGACAGGTACCAACATTTTGAGGAACATGTTGCCTCCATCATCAGAATATAAGGAAGGCAGGGGGAGACAGGAGGTTCCTCCAAAACATTGGCACTTATCTACCAAATTACAGAGTGTAATATGCTAGAAGGCAGACAATAATCTTCAGTCACCACTGTAAGAGCCTTTCCCACTCAAATTCTGTATGAACCTGTTTTTCCTAGTCATTTCTTAAGTCAAGTCAACTGTAAGTTCCAAATGAACTAACAATGGTGTGAAAGAACAAACCTGTCCATGAATCCTAATAAGACTGTAATTATACTGTTTACTAGGAAGAGAAATATAAAGGGCCTTAAGGAACTGACCCTCTTCAATAAGACGATCCCGCTCTCCAGCGATGTCAAGTACCTTGGTCTAGTATTAGACAAGGGGCTGACATGGAAAAAGCAGCTGGACAAGGTCATCAATAAAGCCTATAAGGCTTTTTGGACATGCAGAAGCATGTTTGGTAAAACTTGGGGACTGCAGCCGCACGTTGTGCATTGGATACACACTGCGGTTGTAAGACCCATAATTACATATGGCGCTACAGTATGGTGGCCCAGAGTTAAACTCAAGACAAGCAAGGCAGAACTTAGCAAATTGCAAAGGTTGGCTTGCTTGGGTATCACAGGAGCAAGTTGAACATCTCCAACAGCTGCACTGGAGACACTCCTTGGACTCCCCCCCCACTGCATCTACAGTTGGAGGCAGAAACCAGGGCAGGAATTTACCATCTCCAGTGCAGTGATCAATGGAAACCTAAATCCGATAGTTTCGGACATGCATACATAACTCGGGACATGAAAAAAGAACCCATATTACAAACGAGGTCTGACAAAATGATACTGAGACATGTATATGAAAAACCCTTCACAGTCAGATTTCCTGACAGGAGTGAATGGGAAGACAGGTTTCGGCCTGACAGAAAAGGGGGACTGATCTGGTATACAGATGGTTCCAAGATAAATGAGGGCACTGGAGCTGGTGTGTTCTGCTATGGCACTATGGCCCTGGGGTTGACTCAGCCTCTAACAGAAATGAGTATCAGGAATCTTCTTGGGGGTAAAGGGCGGCCAGCGCGTAAGACACGCAACCTTACCACCATCTATGAGCTGATTGTCTAGAAAATGTGGGAACCTGAACATCTCACACCCCTATGGGCCTCCACGGCATGTTAGAGGGATTATTTTACTTTACTTTTTTACTCATAAATTAAGATAGACAGGGTCCTTACTGAACAAACAAACAAACCCCACAGTGACTTACTTCAATACATCATCCACACTTTCTGACAGATCTTCCTTACTTTCAACCCGAAGTTCATCACTCTGATGTTCATTTTGACCATCTGATAAGTTATCTGGAATGACAAATGAATGATTAGTAAAACAATTAAAGACATGCAATGCTTATATGTGGCAATGTACTTCCAGGAAGAACAGAATAAAAACAAATTTCTATATATTTACTAGATATTTTACAGTGTGGTCTTCTGGGTTGACATCATATAGTCTCGTAAGTGGGTGCCAAGATTTCATAGGAACATAATGCCTCCATCTTCATGGTACACATACTTATGATCAAGTTGGGCAGAAGTACCTATCCTGAAGACATACCAAACACAGTCCTATTAAACTGTGGTACCCACACACCAGATTACATGGTGTCATCACTAAGAAGACCACAATATAAACCATCACTAGGAAGACCTCAAATCTTTTTAAACCAGAAATGTTTTCAGGACTGCACTGGGGCAGTGTCAATCAAGTTTTGTTAACCCTTCTTGTATGTGCATTCAGACCAGTCTACACTACATGTATACACTGTCCATGTTTCATGGTAAAAGGTTGTGCATATGACAAGGACTATACGTCCTCAGAACCCACCTCCCAGTGCAGTTGTGCACCCAATGCTGATAACAGTCATTCAATTACAATACACACATATCTACATATTCACAGTAAATTCTAATGCACTGGGTCATTCTGTTGCTGTTTTGGATACTTCACCTCCACCAACTTCTCAATGGAGAATGGTGACTCTACATGTTCAGACATGAAAAAACATACTGTGATATGTACATGTTGCCAGGCAATGACTGCGAAATAAGCAGCTGTTGCTAGGTAAAGGCTCTGTAAAGAATGGCCATTCCTAGGTAATGGCCACAACAGATTCATAAAATGCAACAGTGGAGTAACTGGGAAGCAGTGTTCTCTGTGTGGTCCGTGTGATGGCTATGTGATGCAACAGTAGAAGATCTGTCGGGAGAACTGTGGCTTGAGTCTGCAAGCAAACTATATCGACTGAGCGACTGCTGCTTGTCAGTGAAGTTACTACCAACTTTAGCGGATACAGGGTGTTGCGTGGTCAGCGCAATGAATCCCCACAGACATTAATTTCGGTTTTCTAGACTGGAGCCAATATTTCCTTGAAATAGCTCCTCAATTATCCTCACAAGGCTGGGTGGACCTGTTCCAGACCCACTACATCTCAGAAAATCTGGTAGCGCGGGAATCGAATCCGGAACTCTGGATCTGTAGCTAGAAACTCTGACCACTAGACCAGAGAGACAGTCACCATACCAAAACAGTAAGTAAAAAAATGTAAACGTTTAAAATGCTACACAGTGCTCTGTTCGGTGATTAATAATGCAAAGAAATTCTGAAATCTAAGCACTCAATTTTTTTAAATGTCTGGATTAACAATTTTGATAGGTGCTCATGAAAACAATGATTAAAAGCAGATAAAAAACTTTCAGCTGAATTTAACATTACAATTTTATTTCTCACTGCCTCAAGGCCTTCTGGAATGTCCTAATGCCCCCCTTCCCCAAGGTATATTATGAATCACCCAATGTACATATTCTTATGAGTTGATGGTGAACCATGTATAATTTATGTGTATAATTCTTGTCCTCACATTTTCATGGCTGGAGTTCAGTTTACAATTCCAGCTTTTACAAATAAGTTGCATAAGACTCTAGGGGGTGTTCAATTTTTGACAAACACTGCACTTGCCATCTTCAGAGTTGATACCTCTAGAGGGTTGAAGATGTTATACAGATATGACAGTAGGTACTACATGGGCAGTTCCCCTCATGGTGCTATCCAACTGGGAGCAACCACATGGAAGAAGAAAAGAGTTGACAAACCACCCACTGCCAGTTCTATGTAAGGACTTCCAAAACCCGTAAAAGATATTAACTCTGAATATGGCAACTGTAATGAATGGCAAAATATTTGAAAACCCCCAGCACTACAAGTAGCATGTTCCTGAAAGCTAAGTCACATATTTATGAGTACAAATGTCAAAGTGAGTAAAGTTAATATATACACAGGTCTTGGACTAACAGACCCACAATGGAAAGAGTGGAGGTGACGCACAGTCTGGGCCAACAGGTACAGTGAACATGAAAAAATTATCAAAAATTTGTTTTACAGCAGAGTGCATCAAAAAACCATCAGCAATGTGTGCTCCCATGCAGTCACCCATTCAAGCGTTCACCAAGCACAATGTTGTTTAACCTCCTCTGCTATGGTCAAGTGGTTCAGAAAGTGGTGGATAGATCCATCAGATTTGGTGGCTCTAAAAGGAGCTGTTTGTTTCAGTTTTCTGTCTGCTGGCCCTATTCGCTAGAACCCAGCTTCAACCCAAACCTTCTCATGGGTGTGCTGGACTAAAATCTATATACCCATGAACACTGACACACCCTAATAATTTCAACCACGACAGAGGCAGCAAATACCTATGAAATGTTGGCAACACTATTCACATCCACATTGTGGAAAGGCCCAATAGCAGGATCAATAACAACCTGAAAGCCTAAAAATCTATAATTTATGTGCAGTTATTTACTTAGTATGATATACTGATTTTGGTCATTCACATATTTTGTGTATAGGGGTCATACTCTCATCGGTATGACTAACAGGACTGGTCATATGTACTATGACTGCCAACATTAATTAACAGAAGACTTTAATTTAAATGAATAACCTTCAAAGCTATAAATAAATATATCTTTAAGCCTTAGTAGTATCCTGAACTACCCATCTAGAATTGCATTCTATTATCACAAACATGAATATAAGGCCCCTATAATGGGAGGGTAATAAATCTCCTTAATAGACTTACAATCTACCACTTTTTAAATCTCTGTCATTCTATTTATTGTAAAGCAATGTTCTCAACCAACCATAGACATCAACCTTGTACTTTATTTCTGGCGCCTGAAGAGTAGTAGTGGGAATATTCTTAAGAAATATACTGTAAAACTGATACGCAGTTCCTAATGATGGCATTATGTACGCTGTTGAAGTCAACCACAATATATTTTATTCTTGGAAAATGTTCTGTAATTGTACTGCAGTTCTCGATATTTTCTAAATACAAGTTATTGTGCTATGACTTGTCCCAGATTCCTGTAATCTATGGAATACATCTATGTTTATCCATCAATCATGCATAGACTTGCATGTGGCTTTGTTATAATTACCAAAAAATTTATCTGCACCATCATTTTCGTCCATAGCTGAAGAGTGTCCAAAATTTACATACATCGGCGCTTTGCATTCGAAGTTATCCATGACTTTAAAGATAACTGTATATGAAAACTATATAAAAATATTGGTTTTAACGTCACAATATAATAGTCGCCACAAAATTCAACACACAATTTGAATGGTTTGAATGTAACCGACTTCACACCACAGAATATCAAAACCAACGAACATAGCTTAAGTAGCCTTGGTACATAGAACCATGGGTCTCATTTGTGCCAACGAGGACAAATAGTGCGAAAATTGATCAAGATAGAAACTACTTTCTTGAACTAAATTTCTTGCATAAACTAAATAAGCAGCAGCATAAAAATAGAGATAGTATAAAAATGTAATATTTCTTCGCAGCATGTAGGGAATAATTTTGTTACTTTTACTATTGCTTCAGTTATACCACATTCTATATACATACATATACTTGAATCATTTCTACATTTGAGGTGAACGACAGGGTTGCGATCGTTTCGATGGTTAATATTGTATTTACCGGTCTTGTGCGTGTTTTGACAATAACGTTTGCGAATTAATCGCGGATAAAGTGCTACATACCTAAATCCTGAATACCACTGTGGTTGCCTTTAAAGTACTCCCCTTGGGAAGCTATGCATCCATGCCAGTGCCTAGTCCACCCTTCAAAACAATTTTAGAACTGGTTTTGTGGAATGACCTTTAGAGCTGCCGTCGTATAACTCAAGATGTCATCAGTGACATCAAAAGCCGTCTTTTCAATATTTCCTTCATTGTCGGGAACAGACAGAAGTCACTGGGGGCTAGATCCGGTGAATAGGGAGGGTGTTCCAGCACAGTTATTTGTTTACTAGCTGAAAACTCCCTACCAGTGTTCTGCGGTGAACTTCATTGGGACCATTTTTGCACACACCTTCCTAATGTCAAGATATTCAATTAAGATTTTCCTAACTGTTTCTCTGTCAATGTTCGCTCGCTCTGCTATGCTCCTGACATTCAGCCGACGATTTTCACACACAGTTTGACGAACTTTTTGAATTTTTTTTTTTTCAGTTCTGCTCGTTAATGGTTGTCCTGACCGTCCTGCCCACTCTTCGTCAGTGACACTTTCTCTTCCCTCAGAAGAACGTGTCACCCACTTGTAACTGCTGTTTTCGTCATAGCATTATCCCCGCAAACTTGTGCCAACATCTCTCTGATTTCTCTTCTACTCTTGCCAAGTTAAACAAGAAGCTCCGACATTCTCGTGACGGCACACCAAAACACACTCGAACAATAATAGATGCCACTCAGAAAGAGACTCATAAGTCAACAACAACACAGCTGTGAAATGCTGATATACCAACGTCATCATTGTCCGTTGTCCACTGCTGCCCTGGTACGCACATGGTGGCAAGTTCGCGAACTTTATTCTCAGAATTCGTATATTGTAAAATGATTTTAATATAATTTGTACCGTTTAAACACAGATTAATTCTGCTCCTACAGTATGTGTGTGGAGGCAGGCTCAAATACATCAACCGTGACCCTAAGAGTCATAGGAGGCGACGAAAACAAAGTCTCAAATCTGAGACAGTAAAATGTGGTTGCGAGTCCCAAGGGACTCGGACCATAAAAAGACTATGCTGTTAAGGGCCAGCATCATATACAAAAGACAGACCCGTCTACTGGTCAGAGAGGGCACCCCACAAATCAAGACTGTAACTGTCAAACAGTAATAAATATCTTGTCATGAACCCCAGATGAGGCTCACACCAAGACTTACTGACTGGCTGTCAGTCACAATGTGATTTTGACTCTTGACTTAATAAGTTTCAGTTTTCAAGTGAAGTGACAAAGTGGGGAGTCCAGGAGGTTTCAGCAGTTGAGAGTACAAGGACGAGAATTTAGCGTGAACAGTGAAGATCAATTGAGTACCCGTTAGGACACAGGAGTACAGAGTGATTGAAGACTTTGTTTATGTGTAATACTTGATGTGTTTAATCCAATGAGACTGTTATAGTTTCTGTGATGAGATTTGTTACCAGGAGATGACTAGTGAAGACTGGGAATCCTAGTGCATGTGCAACAGTGAACTGTAAATTGTGTAAATCAGTGATATCACTGTATTGCGTGTATTTAAGTGTAATTAAGAGAGGTTGTAACCAAGGTGTTAATAAATCCAATCATCTGAACTAGAACTTGTCATTCTCATCACACGTAACACCCTACATGTGACAGTATTCTGCCATTCCAACTTTTCAATATATTTCTGACATCCCTGATGGAAAAATCTCATCCTTTTGTATATACAACATGCCTAGTAGAATAACTATCCACTGTACCTAGTTTGTGAAATAATTCAACAAATATAGATCAATTGAATATATTTTATGTACATATACATGATGTCCCCTCCCTGTTGTAGGTCATTTCCGAGATCCCTGATAGAATAATGACTATCTCTTCATTATTTACTAAATAATTCGATATATATGTAAATATATGCATGTAACTATACATATATACAGATACGAGGGGGTACCCAAAAGAAACCGAACTTATTTTTTTTAAACTTATTTATTCAAATTTTAAGCACAAACCTTCAATCCCCTTCAAAGTACTCTCCACTTACACTAATACACTTGTATAGTCTTTTATTCCATTTTTCAAAACACTGTCTAAATTCATCTTTTGAGATGCTTGACAGCGCCTCTGTCGTTTTTTCCTTTCATGTCTCTTCATTTGAGGAAACAAAAAAAAAAGTCGCACGGGGCAAGGTCAGGTGAGTATGCAGGGTGAGGAACAGGGGTCATACCATTTTTGGTCAAGAATTGTCATACAGACAGGGCTGTGTGAGCAGGGGCATTGTCATGATGGAAAAACCAGTCACCTGACTGCCACAAATCTGGCCGCTGAGCTCCAAGTCACTCCCGACAGCTCCACAATTTCTTCAATGGTCTGTCGTCGATCTTCCTTGAAGATTTCACGAATTTTTTCAACATTTTCATGTGTTCGGGCCGTGGAAGGACGACCAGAACGAGGTTTGTCATCAATTGACATTTCACCATTTTTGAAACGGGAAAACCACTCAAACACTTGAGTTTTCCCCATAGCATCGTCCTTGTACGCTGTTTTTAACATTTCAAGAGTTTCTGTTCCACTTTTCCCAAGCAAAAAGCAGAATTTCACCGCCGCACGCTGTTCACGAAAATCAGCCATTGCAAAAACGATGATCACACAAAACAGTTGTCACTATAAACTCTGCCGAAACTAGTCCTTACCTTCTGAAGCAACGGTAGTCGGCTTATCGACTCAGGAATGTTAGCTCTATGCGCTCATAGCGGCAAAATGCGGTACTGCAAAAGCTCTGCCCACAAAAAAATTAGTTCGGTTTCTTTTGGGTACCCCATCGTATATGCAAGGCTCCCTCACCACTTTAAAATATATCTCACATTGCTGACATAACACACGCTTTTTGGTTTTTATGAAATCATTCACTATATATTTTAACATTATCGTGCTTTGATGCAGTTATTTTCAATTTGCCAGTAGCCACTTAAGATTCTAGTCCACTGCTATTCGTCTGTACGCTACTGCATTATTCTCTTCTTGAATTCACAGACTTTCGTCTCATCACACTATCTCACCAGCTATTGAGTATATATATTGTCGCGTATCGCGGGGTATAACGCGACGAATAAATTCTCGATGTATTCGATGTAGCGAATTTTATTTCACATTCGCGCTTACAATCACCCAAATTACAGATTTACGATTACTGCTATCTGCAGTATCACAATTAGTACACTCCAAATGCCAGAATACGACTAGTTGCTGGCTAACTCGGCGGTAGCTCCAGGACTTACTGACTGACTCAGTACAACTCTGCGGTAGCCACACTAGAACTGACTGTGAATAGCCTTCGCTGCTCCGTATGTAGCCTCGATCGGACAGTACGGGAAAACGGCCACGTAATAGGCACCCTTTTTGCCTGGCGCTGTGTTGCTATGTAACGCTAGCGGAAGTAACCGCTGTTACTATCGTAACGTCGCCGCTGTTGACTCGCGTTGCCTAGCGACCGCGATATCCCTCGGTGACGTCACCGCGGAGGGGAGTGGCGGGGCGGGAACTCGCCTATTACCGTAAGAACGCGAGCGTTACGTTACCGCCAGGTACCGCTGGGGAGGTAGGGGTCAACATGTCACAATATATATATATATATATATATATACACACAGATGCCATTCACTCTCTTTTTTCAAATATTTTTTACATCCTGATAGAATAATAATTAGCTGTACAATACTTACAAAATAATGAAATAACTCTGTATATAAATTTTATATTGTACCTACTATCTGGTCCATTCCTCTTAAAATAAATTTTTAGAGTGTAATATTGAGAAATTTGCATATTTTTGTCAATCAATACTGAACCTCTCTTTCAGTTTTTATTAATACTACATGTAATTTACAAATATACATCATTGTTGTGGTTACTACATTTAAGTAATCAGTACAATTTTCAAAAATAAAAATTCAGATGTGGATTCATAGAGACATAAACAACTTTATGCAGCCAATTTATAACAACTTACATAACAACTAAATTGCAAGTACACAGAACCAGTCATAATTCCCAATAAAAAACCATTTAGTAATGGTATACATTGTTTTGTAACATGATCATTATGAACAGGCTACAATGCTACAAAATTATTGATCCTAATTAGAATTTCCTCCAAATTGTACTTCACAAATAAATGTTAGGACATAATGTATGAAAAGCTTTAGAATATATTTCTTACCTCCATCCAGTTAACAACAGATATGACATCACCTTCATTTATTTTCTTTATATTGTCATAACTGGTACATACATATATGATTCCTTGCTACACATGAGTCCAGCTCTTTCCCTTTTGTCTCTTGGTCATTTAGTTGCATGCAACTGAATATTTTTGGAAATGAAATCAAACTCCATACTCTTACTGTGGAAAGCCTACAAAAACAGCCAGCTGAAAAAATTCTAATGCAAGATGTTTAAAATCATAATCATACTGGAAGATAGCACTCTTGAAGTGTTGAAGTTTCTTGCATACCAGTGTTGATCCCATCCAGTGACAGGTTGATGTCACTGTGTATGCGAATTTCATTTTCTCCTACAGATATCACTCAAAAGCTGAAAAAGTTTTGTGACACTTCTCAAA